AAGGCAGACTAAAAAAATGATTCTTAATCACCTTTTAAAGAGCCAACAGTGTTTTCTAGGATAATTTATGAGCTATTATTGTACTGTGTAGTGTGATTAGTCTTCTTGTGACAAATACCACCTGTGCTTCATAAGGTCTTGCAAACGGTGAAGGAGAAAAGAAGTGACAGAACAACCTCGTATGCCGTCCGGTCTGGACACCCACATCCTCGAGGTCCGCCTAAGCTGACCCAGTAATCCTGTGGTTCTGATCTCTCTCCGAAAGCACATTCACGGCCGATGGTTCAACACCACAGCGCCCTGTTGTGTTCGGCACGTCCGACCACTCGCTTCCCGAAATTCTGCTTTTATTGCCCCTTAAGATGACCAATTACAAAAAGCCCCGACCTGCATTTTCTCACGTGCCTCGTAAAAGTGCTCGAAGAGCAAACACACGGGGTCTAAGTTGCCCGTCGACGCTACGGCGATTTTAAAAGCTGTTTTTTTGGCGTGGTACCCAAAGAGTGTGAAGAGAAAAGAAACAATCCAGGTCCATTTATAAAAAGAATACTACATTACAAAAAAAAACCAAAAACATTTAAGATGTTAAATTTAATGGTGGCAGTAATTATGTTGCAAAACACATTACCATGGGACCATATTCACAGGGAAAACAAGGCCTAACAATGCAACAAAACTTTCCTAAAATTTGTCATGCTAACCAGGCAACTCGATACAAAATGAAAGCATTTCACGGAATGAATGGAAGACGAATGAGGAGAGATCAGGGGCGACGGCTGCCTCACCTGGAAGCACCTCCTGTGTTTCTCGCACCAGTCCAGGACATCATCAGTCTGCTGGAGAACAGACCAGAATGAGCAAAACAAGCCTAATTAAACTCATTCCCGTCGCCATTTCCACGGTTACTGCGGTCGTCCCCAGCAGAACAGCCAAGCGGACGTCCAAATAAAGCACACATCCATTTACACATATAATTACCAGGTTGATTTTAGGAATATTGCATATTATATACATTACAGAGCACATATACATGTTATATATACTGTGTTCTTCAGGCAGCTGGTCCAAAGAGGTAGAGGAGGTCGTACCGTCCCTAAGAAGAATAAATTATGAAACTTTGAAATAAGTAATTTTATTACTTAAAAATGCATTCTCTCTCTTCTTTGGAAAAATTTTCTATTATAATGTTGCAAAATGTATTATTTTCTTATCGCCTCAGATTTCTTTGTCACCAGCCTCCATTGCTGTGCACCTAAACATATGATCTATATCAGGGGTGGCCAATCTTCTTATTAGCCGCTGTTCTCACTGCAACTCCCTAATTAGATTATTAATTAGGGGACTGATTGGCTGAAGAGTCCTCGCACCTGGGTTTGAACAGCAGACCTAAAGGTTGTTCCATGAAACCTGCACACACACTGGCCCTTTGTGGAGAAGATCCCTGATCCATATGTACATATATGTACAGCTTTACACAAGGTTACAGTAGCTGCGCTATTGGCCGACACCTCCAGGGTTGAAGGTTCGAATCCAATCTCTGCTCTGTGTCTGTGATTTTGCATATTCTCCTGGTGTCATGACGCTTTCCAATCATTACACCAGATTCTTTCCACAGTCATACAAGTGCATGTATGT